GCGGGGAGCACTTTCCTGCGTTTGAGACTCGTGAGCATGATCTTGGGTTTACAAAACCGGGAAGAGCTAACCCAATGATAGTAGTGGCGACGTTCAGAAGCTGCGCGCGCTTCACCCAAACGAGCTCTTCCTCCCTTTTTTCGTTGATCTGCTTCTCCGAAAAGGACATCCAACCAAATAACTTGATCATGCGCAGCACATTCATGGCTAGGATAGTAGGAAGGGGAATGAGGAGGGAAATTTAGATTTGTGACAGGGGGACGGACTTTCAGTGACTAGCTGCACGCGGGCGTCTGTGGCGCGCAGTTGCGCGATCTTGGCGCTCCGAATGAGCTTAGCGACTAGCCCTGGGACCGGCGCGAGCAGGAGCATGAGTCCCAACCCGACGAAAGCGCTTATTCATGTTCGTTAACACGAAATAAATCGAGAATCCCCAATTGACTCACCTCCAGCCCTGATCAACCGGTTAAATGGACGGAAAGCGCGGGGAAAGGAAGGTGAAAATGGAGAACGCACCAGAATCGAATATAGGAAGTACGTTCCGAGCAGGAGCGAGCCGGGCGCATAGAGGACGACGCGGAGCACGTCCTTGCCCTTGTTCGCTGCGTTGTTGGCGTCGGTCGCGATGAGATTGTTGATCTTCCCGATTAAATTGCTGCTGTCCGGCGGAGCTGGCGCCTTCTTCGAGGCAGCGCTCGCGTCGCTTTCGGATTCCGCCAGGCCACCGGCGGACGGCGTGGAGCCCGGGGTAACGTTCGACGTCTCGGCTTTCACCCGGATACGCAGGGAGTGCTCGAAGACGAGGGAAACGATGATGGCCTCTGCTTCAATCATGACCATGAACTGCGGCAAGGGAAAAATTTAAACTTGCGACCTTGTCCGTAGAATGAGCGACTGACCATGGTTGAAGTATATGCTGAATTCCGCACAAAATACACGGTCAGCAAAAAAGAATTATGCTTACGAGTCACGACACCGACGCACCTTCGTTGACAAGACATCCCAGCGCAGCGCCAAGGAATAACGTCAGAATCCAAATCCAAGGGCGGACAACTGCGTCAGCGGGACTCTCCAAGTAAGTCAGCAGGCGGTTGATCCCCAGTGCACTGATGTAGTCCGCTGGGACGGCCAACACCATGTACTGCGCCGCCAATCAGCTTTTTCATCAGCAACTATGCAAAGTGACGCACAACAAAAGCAAGGAGAAATTGATACCGGAATGTCCAGAACAGCCCGAAACCGATGTGCCGCTTTTTCGCGCCTTGGAATTCATCGATGTGCTGGGTACACCAATCCACGTCAGAAAATCGGAAGTCAATGAAATGGAAGGACGCACGGGAAAGCTCTTCTTTTTGAGATTGTGAGCGTAGGAGTAATCCGCCAGCGTCGGTAAATCGTCGTATGAGAACTTTTGACCCCGTTTTTTATTCGTTACGTATACCAAATGGTCAAGAAACGAGAACAGGTACGAGGAGAGGATCGAGGCTGTCTGCTCTGCATTCGGGGGAATCGGGTTCTGGAAATGGTTAGTGTCCAAGGTCTAGTGAAGTCGAAAGTTCTACCGAAGGATCTACGGGAATGTAGATGCGCGGAATGGTGAGGGGTACAATGATCGCTGCCACGAATAAGAGCGCAATTTTGACCCAGAGAAGAGTGCCTTGCTCGCCATCCATCGGGACTTTTGTGTATGTGGCCAGTGGGTATACATCCCGATAGACGTAAAGAGCGGTTTGAGCATTGAGAATGATGGTAACGTGTCTACCCAGGATTTGACTCCAAGAGGTAGACCTGAGGGACAAGCCGCTCAGAATTGACGTGTAAAGCTAGAAGAATCGTCAGACAAGTACAATAGAGAGGGGAAGAAACGTGCAAATGTCAAGATGGACGTGAACTGCTGTAGTTCGGTGTGCTCAAACCTCCACTGCCCGGCGGTAATGCCGGTGAGAGCTAAGGAACTGGCAAATCTGACAACTCCAAACATAGCGCGGTTCCCTGCGTCCCGCCCCAATTGAGAGCGCCGATGGAAAAAAGCATGCCACAAAAGCAGTATAAGAGAGCCCAGTGCGACACAGTTGGCGTAGAGAAATGGATCTGGGTCGGCCCTGGACGACGATCAGCGATACATTCAGCAATCAAACAGTCCTTTACCGCTGTGACGCAGGACGACTCCAAGTCGATTGCGCAGTTGAGAAAGGGATTTGCATGGGAGAGATTGTCTGAGTGGGAGTTGGTAGGAAAGAAGATGTGACTCTCCCGCTTCGCGGCCGGGTCCGACGGAAAAAAAAATTGATCGACTTGAGGCAAACTTGATGTGATGGTAAGTTAGCCGCAAAAGGCAGTACTGCGGTTAAAAATAGCGATTATAATTTCCCCTGGCCTCCTTAGTGCCTAGTGGTTCGAGAAGCTAAGGAAACATTTGGTTTAGTGAGCTAAGGTACTACAACGAAGAAAACTCACCTCCCGAGGACAACGTGGGCGCGAGTTCAGTGGTACCGGTGACAAACAGAATCACCTTGAATGTTGACGCCTTTGGAGGAGGCGATGAATCGTACAAGGAGCAATCGAAGGGGGGAGTCGAGAAGAACTGCGTTCTAAGCGCTGTGGGTCGGAGAAGAGATTCAAAACTGTGCACAAGGAACTAATTTACCAATGCTTCGGCTGATCACCAGCGACAACGCCTGCAAATGAAATCTGTATGGCTGTTCGCCGTCACCGGAGAAGAAGACGATGGATGTGCCTAGGGCACCGAGCTGCAGGCAAGCATTGCAAACATGGCTAAAAGGCATTTAGTACCTGCGGAGTATCGGCCAATATTAATGTGGAATGTGTATGTGGCAACAGAGAGCGTGAGGTCGGTCTCATTGAAGGCGTAACTGGTCGAAATACGTTCGGGCGATGCGTCTCGTTGATGAGCGTCGTGATGATATCCCTGTTTTTCGGTCTTCCATCTGATCTGCAACCTACAAGTGGATGGCGGGCATAATGGCGTATGGCGACGCCGACGGTGTGGATGTCGAGGCTCTAGGTAGTGTTCGCAAAATACTTATCGGCACGCGATCATCAATAGGCAGTAGGTGCAAGAACACATACTTGCCGAAAGGGGTCGGTGCGCGACTCGAGCACGGCCATGGAAGATTGTTGGCCTTTCTAGGCCGACATACATCTCCACGAGCATAGCGGAAGCATATCATTTATTTCTGACCACAAAAGGCTATACAAAAAAAGATGCGCCCCGGAAGTTGCAGCCGTTGTTTGGAAAATGACGGGAGGCGCAGGTCTGTCCCGTCATGGAGCGTTGAAAAACCCTCACGGCGCAGAGCTGCATAGGCAGGGTGACAGGATGCGAGATCTGGGAAGCCAATATCATCCCGCCGATTTTTTTCCGGAACCCTTGAACAGGACGGCTATCCGTCGTACAGAATGTGGAGCCGTCGCTATGAGAGTCGCGCTAGTCGCGCGTCCCTGAGGAAACAAATATTCCGGGGCAGATCACTGGTTTATTTATAGTCTTTAAAACCGCTTGAAGATGGCCAGAAAAATAGTGATTGGAGCCAAGTATAACCGATATCGAATCGCGTCCAACAGGAGAGCACGCAGACCAGCAAGCACATGTCAGAGAGCAGATGCAGAGGCATCCTTTTGAAAACATCGCTTATCAGACATATTACCTATTAATGCGAGCCACAGGTTTGACGTCATGACGGTAGACGACATGAGGCGACTGCCGGTCCGGCCATCAATCCCTGGCGTCAAAATCAAGCACGTGGCGTCTGGCTCCATGCCCTTGTCCTCAACCACTTCGCGTGCAAATCGCAAGGCCTGCAACACGCCTCAGTCGTACGGTATAGGTATACTAGTACCTGCTGACTAGCTCTTGCTCGCTTTTATCCCCATGGCTCCACATTTCGAGACAGTGAAGGTATCGTCGCAATAATTCCAAATTTTGTAAGCTCACGATCTTGTGGCAGTCGTTCGCGGACGTACAGATTACTGATACCGGCATAAATACAGAAGAGTTCCTGCTCGCTTCGGACGGGTTGGTTGCCATGTTCGGTGGGCTCTTTTCAGTTCTGCGGATGCGGGCAGAGCGTTAAAGTTTCTTTCGTCAGATCTTCTAGGCTCCGGGGTCTTTGGATTTGTACAGGCGGATATCAAGAGCAATGTTTCTGTACATTCCTCATTTCCGCGGTATTTCCCGGGAGACTAAATCACACGCAGGGCGTGCGCGAGCGATACAATGCTACCTCCACCGAATCTGCCACCCTCGAGGATCTCGTGCGCCACGAACACTCTCAAGGCGCCAAACACGGGACCCAGTGTCTCGTCCGACTCATTCGGTTGGCCATTCCACCCTTCTATCCTTACCTTCTCCGTTGATGCCCAGAGACAGGGGCCTCGCTTTCACTTGCGTTGCGCTGCAGACTACACAGAACGAGCCAACCTGCGCGCTGCACGTCTGCTTCCGCCGCGCGTACGACGTCGTACTGCGTCACCACCACACCTTTGTCGTGCGCTCTGTTGTCACGGTTCGCATTCTCTCATTGCATTCCTGCCCGTATTCATGCACTAAACATTGCGATTGCTATTGAATGCAGATAGCGATCCGAGCTGTCCCCCGCCGCGACCACTTCTACGCCCAGATCTCGCAGGGCGGGGACGCGGAGAAATTTGAGGCGGAGTTGAAGCGGTGGCTCGTCGGGTTGGACGCAATCGTGCAGCGGATGAAAGGATTTTTGGCCGAGGGCGGGTATGGGCGGGTTTAATTCGGTGTGAAGATTTAGTTTGGTCATAGTATACGCTCTCGTTAAATTGAGTGCTGTTCATACTCTCGTAACGTATTCACGTTCTCTCATTTCGATTCTCACCGACTTGAAAGTGATTAATACGCGCAGCGACGATTTCTTCTAGAAGGCTTGCATGAACCGGGCTGAATCAACCAAAACTCCAGTTTTAGAGTTTTTTTATCCCACATATTCAACCCCCATGCAGTTCTTTCACATTCGGATATGGTGCAAAGGATAGCGCGGCCTTGGATACTCTCCCACGGTCTGGGATGACAGGCAGATCGAGGTTCAATTCCTCGTATCCGTACTTTTTTTGATTCGTCCTGGAGCGGTTGTGGAAGCCGATGCACTCATTGATTTAATTACACAAGGACATGTAACTCTACGCCTGTAGGTGCGAATTCGAAACAGAGCTATCCGATCCTATTCTCAGTGACGAGTCTTCGTACCCATTGGGCAGGAGACGTACATGCCTCAGCAATCGCAAAAGCATCTCATGCTCTGCGTCCCTTGCACATTTATGCACTGTGCATTGTCCGATACATGGTTCCCCGTGTCAGCGGCCTGATTTTCGCAATTGATGTCCGAATAAATCTTGCAGTCCGTGCCGAAAAGGTTATTCCCTTTGACGGAGAAACCGTCGAACGTGCTGTACTAGAAGCAGTTTCCGCCGCAGGTGGGGACGTACAGTTCCTCCAAATAAGTGACCGGTCGTGTAATTCCGGTGGCTTTAACTGTTTACAGGAGATCAAGAACACATGAAAATTGCACAGAGAGGTAGAAGAGATATATTAAATTGCTAGTACTTTGTATGTCCACCATTGGATGCGGTAACAGCATCAACAATTCTTGGCATTCTATCAATGAAAATGTGGGTGTCTGCTGCTGGAATTACATCCCAAGGCTCGAATATTGCCTGCAGCAGCTCTACATAATTTGTAGGCTGGATTGGATGTGCTTCTTGTGCAATAACCAGACCGGCTCAATGGGGCTGGCATCTGGAGAGGACAGGGGATGGGGGAAAGTTGGAATGTTGTGAGGCATCAACCATTCAGACGTGGCCTTGGCGCGATGAGCAGATGCACCATCTTACTGAAACAAGAGACTGGGCAGCCTCTCCCACATACCTGAGAGGAATGGTAGCAGTGCAGGTTCCAGAACATGCTCGTGATATGTCGAGGGGGGCCAGATGGATGACCGGTCACTTATTTGGAGTAACTGTATGAGCCCAGCTTTCCCGGGTCTTGGCCGACGTCGGCCCCGCGGAAATATGCGACGCATTCGTCTCGCCCGCAGTGGGATCGGCAGTCTTTAGCGAATGTGAGATGCGCGCGCAAGAAAAGAGTGAAGGCCGCTTTATAGGGACTTTCATTGTTAGGATCTATACAACCAAATAAATATTATTCTGAAAATAGCTCAGAGAAGGAGGCTCACGAACGTAGTGAGTAGTGTAGATGGTTAGCAAGTGACTTGAACTGTGCACACTCGGTTGGGCTCTGTGTTTATATGTATGCTGTGCTGCTGGGGATGTTTATTATTGCTTTACAATACGTGCGGGTAGAATAAACGGTTGAAGCCCCAGGATCGTTGTTGGGGTTAAGAACAACAAGATGGACCTCCGCTTCGCTCCGGTAGTTCAGGTTTTTATTCAGAGGTTAGAGAGTCTTATTTTCAGCTTATTTATGCGAACAAAAAGAATGCTTTCATAGTGCTGCAAAGAGTGGTACAAAATTTGTATGCGAAATCAGAATGCAACGAACCGGTTGTATAAAACCATGTTGAAAGAAAGAGAAGTGACAATAGCCACGGGAGTCTTTGAGATCACCAACTGCTGAATCCGAGTCCCAATCAATTGCATTTGGTGAGAGGGATCTGACGAGGGAGAAAGAATTGACACTGATTACTGGCACAGAAATACCCTAGACAGAAGTGTTGATGTGACACCCAGAGCAAAGATAGTCCACAGCAGTGGGCGAAGCATTGAGAGTCAACTGTTGGCAGAGCAGTTTTGATCTGATCCCAAGAGAAAGAAATGTTGCAATTTTCGTAAATTTGAGGAGGAGAAAGTGGGCGACAGATATCTGGTCTGAACGAACAGAAATCTGGCCTTTTTTATATTGATAACCTCCGGGAGTACTACGTGGCCCCGGCACGATAAACACACGCAGCAACAACTGCGATGAACTGCGGCCTCTGCGCAAAGAACTGCGCGTAGGTCAGCTGTTCAGCCAGACAGGGGTCTTGAATGAAAATGCGCAGTACAGTACCTACGGATTGCACTGCAAGATGACGACTAAAATGGGGCCAGTCTGCCCTCATGCCACGGTTGATATTTTTAGTAGAGTCCTTTGCAGTTGCGGCGAAGTTTCCGTAGGTCGCAGTGATGAAAAAAATGTCCCATGCTCATATGAATGAAGCAAGGGAGCTTTTTCTTGAACGACGAGAGGAGAAGAGCGGGAGATGATGCAAATGGAGATGAACCTACATGGGGAATTGGCACAGGTTTTGCAGGATCTCGTTAAAGAACGGTTAATAATTATTGACCAAGCCAATGTCTAAGCGCTGATGGGATCAGCACTCTGGCGTTCAGAACGGGCGCCTGAGTGCAAACCAATCCCCGCGATTTTCTGTCACCATCATTTCACAATGGAGTCTCACCGGTTCCTGCTGAATTCTATAACTTCATGGAAACTCCTGTCAGAATTCATTTGACTGACGGCTACTCACGGGATGTGTCCCTGCGCGGGCCTCGCTGGAAACTTTATTCATAAACCGGAGCTCGTAACCGCTGAATCCCGCCCGTGGCTGATGATGGCGGAGGACTGCAGGGATTGGTCATTATATAGCTCAGGAGCGTCATTTGTAATGGCGTACCACTGATGAACACTCACCGACCTGGTCTTTTCCTCACCGCCTATGTTGACGTCACTCAGCGGACCCGACTACTTATAACCGAACCGTCCACAGAAGCATCGACACCATTCCAACTCTTCTATTCTCGGTGAGACATCTTCAGTACTCGTCTAGCCTCGCTGGTTCATAACTGTGATTACAGATCACACAATGAAGTTATACGCTGCTGCCCTCTCCGTCATCGACACCTAGTCTCTCCTAAACAGACACTACAACGGCATGCTCGTACCTCGCATGTTGTAATCGACACCGCACAATTTACCCTCGGAAAACCATGCTCTCAGGGCGGAGGTGAATGCGTGGCGTACTTCCACGGGTCGGGATGCGATCCCGGGGGATTCATCGGCGGCTACGTCACCACATGCGGCGGGAATTGCTTCCAATATAGCAGCTTCGGCAGTCTCTCGTGGTCGGCAACGGTATTTTCGGTACGGACTGCAAAATGTACTTGGACATCGATTGCAACAACACTGGAAACGTGGTTCTCGGGCCTGCCGAGTGCGCGAACGTTCAAGGGGCGCAGAGCATGAGATGTTTTTATCTTGCTAAGGTATGTATCTCGTGTGCGAATAAATATGTGTCTATAGCTCATTTGCGACAGTGAAATCCAGCCACGAGTGGATCTTTGATACATGAACTTCCTCTCATGAATGTACCGTAAAACCAGAGACAAATGCATTTTGTGTATCCGTTTCCTCTGCGGTCGCGAGTGCAGAATCAGCGCAGTGCAACAGTGTTATTTTATCCCATCTATGTATCAGCTCCGACTCCGCAGCTATCGTGGCTCCTTTACTCTGGTGTAGATGAAAATGCAGCTTCAGATATTCTGGCACGGTCCAACATGAGAGACAGATTGATGTGGGTTTGACCCTAGTGCAAGAAAACCCAAACTTCCTATTTCCCTACGGGTGGTTTTGTTTTGGCGTGAGCCATTCTATGAGCCTTCAAAGAAACTTTGTCCATTATTGATTCATAAGGCCTTTGCACATAGATTTATATATATACATTCGATGGACAGTCGGAATGTCAATCTTGTCTGGCCTTGGGATTGCGGTTAGTGATAGGCATCCCCAATCAAGAGGAGACATACTTTAGCAGTTGAAGAAGCACTGCATACTCTGGGCTCCTTGCGCGTTTACGCACTGCCGGCCTGACGAGACGTGGTTCCCACTGTCGGCGATCTGGTTCTGGCAGTTGGGATCCGAGAAAATGTGGCAGTCAGTGCCAAATAAATCGTTGCCGACCACCCCGACGCTGTCGAAGCTGCTAAACTGGAAGCAGTTTCCGGCACAAGTGGGCGTGAAAGAACCGAGCTCTGCGGCGTCTTGGCAGTCGCTCCCGCGGAAGTACGAGACGCATTCCTCCTGCCCGATTGAGTTCGAACAGTCTTTCGCGATGGTGAGATGCGCGTGGAAGAGGAGGGCGAGGAAGGCCGCCTGGAACGAAGTCTTCATGATCATTGTTGGGATCTGTGCAACTGATTAAATGGTATTCAACTAGTTGGTGGGATCGATGTGATCACTGACACGGTGGGTTGTGGGGGCTGAGTTCTGGGTGGATTGCAAGTGCGTTGAGGTTGTCTGAGTCGCAAATGGGTCCCATACTTATACAATGGGTGTGCTGCGGCCTCGGCTTCTGCAGAAGGCGTTTAGGTCCATGGTGGAAACGTCCGAAATCAGACAAAACATCAATTGGGGTCCGCTCCACAGTTTCCATCTGATCGGCGGGCTCAAAGCTCAAAGCTATACCAAAAAAATCTTTGGGGGGTGGTTACCAAATTGCTCTACTTCTGAATCGGTTTCGGTCTTGGAATCATCAATGCAATCGTCATTCCAATGATCGTTTGCCCCGTCGAACCTAACCGCCCCGGCGAACCTCGCGGCCAGAACTTCCGTCGAGTGTGCTGCGGCCTCGGCTTCCGCAGCAGGCATTTAGATCCATGGTGGAAACGTCCGAAAATTGACAAAACATTAATTAGGGTCCGCTCCACAGTTTCCATCTGGTCGGCGGGCTCAAAGCTGCACCAAAAAATCCTTACGGGTGGTTACCAAATTGCTCTACTTCTGAATCGGTTTCGGTCTTGGAAGACAATCGTCATTCCAATGATCATTTGCCCCGGCGAGCCTAACCGCCCGGTAAACCTCGCGGCCGGAACTTCCGTCGAGTGCCGATGGCAGCGAATGCTCACGGCACCTTATCCCTTGTGCGTTCGTGTCGGGGAGCTATCAACGTTGAATCTCGTAAGGATTACCTTTCCCAGATATTCATCGCTCATGTAATAGATTTATCTCTTACCAATATAGTCGCGACAGTAAATAGAGCCAAGTGCCGTCGTAAGCGTAGAAAAAGGGGCACACCGGGGATACAACCAGTGCTGTGGGATGTAGACATATT